GATTATCATCTACTTGTACCACAGTAGAAAGCGCAAGGATAAATTATATTGCAAGTATCAGGATATAATGCTTGTCTTCAAAGCCAAATACATTGCTACTGTAAGAGGAAAACTCGTTTAAAACAAATATATATGTCATTAACTAACACGTTAGTTTTTCCTGTGTATCAGTGTTGACAGAGCTACTCTGTGATCACAGAGGTTAGGTAAGCTCGGGCACAGTAGGCAAGAGGTCTTTCACAATCTTCAAAAACACCCCACGCGAACTGATACATTATATTTCCAAATAAATGTTATACACTGAATTTTTCAACTCTGTAGTTTTTAAAACAGAAATATTTAGGAATTGGTGAACATCTTTGTGCACCAACACACAATATTCTTCTAAATCCTCTCTTTACTCTTCACCGAATCTGTATTCTTATTACTGCTAAATATGACTAAAGAATGTATGAAAGGAATTGCAAATGAGAAGTTTCCAATTTCTGAGTGACTTAATTACTTGAGGTGGTGTGATATACAAGCCCTGACACTTATGCATGTTTACGGTACATGCTGTCCTCTTTAGACTCTGTTCTCACTCAGTGTTTTATCGTTTGTTTCTGCAGCATTTACAGGCTTTTCCTTGCTCTACATTGAGAAATAACTGCCTAATGTTTCAACTTCTTACTAATAATCATGTTGAATATTATTGTTATTGTTTTTTTGCTATAAACATGTTCTTTTGTCCCTGTAACAGATATACAGTTGTTATAATGGAAGTAAATTTGTATGGCATTTGCTGTATCCCTATAACAACCCCAGTACGAGATGGGGATAATTTTTGAAGACCCATGTATGCCTTAAAATAAGATTTGTGTTGCTAGCTTTAGGAAGCAGACAAAATCTAAACTTCACTTTTCGCTGTTTTGAGACACTGAGAGCGACAAAGGACGCAGGAACCAGTGAGACTGGGCAATAGGGAAAGGGCATTGAGTGAAACTGTCCGAGACTGAGAAAAGAAGGCTGGTAGTTCATGCAAGGGTGAACATGAAGGCACAAAAAAGGAGGAACATGGGGGTTATACACACATGCAGGGTGTGTGTGTGGAGTTGGGGTGTGGTTTGGCGATTCACAGTTGAGAGAAAGAAAATGAGGTAGGAGAATATCAAAATGATGCGTGGCTGCGATGTAGAGGCATCGGATGGCAACCGGATGGCTGCGGTTCTCGAGGCGCATCGTGACTTCCTGTTTGTCAGCAGCATACAGGAAGTAAGAGGCCCCTTGAGGATGGTCTTTTTTTATGCGTGCAAATAAAAATGAAGTGAGAACGTGAGGTGTGTATTTTTGTGAGATGAAACAGTTGATATGGATAAATACAAGTGAAAGTTAGTCAATAAGGTTAAATGCCTTTTGCCTACTGTACGTGGCCTCGCCTAACCTCTGTGATTAGAGTAGTTATGTTGACACTGGTAAACAGACAAACCAATGAGTTTGTTTGTTATTTGCATTCAGACTAGTTTGCCATTATGATAGCAATGGATTAGGCTTAGAAAATAAATATTATATTATTTATATATTCATCTTTGGAGTAAATCAGTAATCGCAACCCTGCCTTGATTGCTTCATGGCTTTTTTTACATCAACCTTTTTTATCAAACAGGTAATTTAAACTATCCACTCAGATATCGACTCAGAAGTCTTGTTCATTTTCAGTTTATTTGGGGAAGTGCCAAATGTGAGTGACGCACTGGGTTTCTGACACCTTTCTGACATCATTTTCTCTGGTAGTAAACAAGTCTTACTCTTTACTGGAATCTTAGAGTCCTTTTCTCATAGGGTGAAATGTGACTGGTGACATGGCCACTTGCATTGGTGTAGTGTTCTGGATACATTGCATTACAGACAGGGATTGCATTGATTTGCCTCATCGATGAGAGTTTACATTCAAGAGATCCAATTGAAAAGAACTTTTAAACTTAAGCACATAATGATGGAGCCAATCAAGATCCAGCTCATTATTTTTGTTTTTCTTTGCCATCCTCATGACACAGTTACTGTTATACAAACAGACAACTGTACTGAACATTTCTATCTGACTTAAGTCTTGAAATGCAGGTAAACCAGTATACTGACATGGCTACACGTCAGCGGTCACATAAAATAATCTTAGATTCAGTTAGATACATTGGTATCTTGTGATAGGTTAAGAAAAACTGAATCTCTCCCTCATGAAAAACAACGCATAGTGGATGCATGGTCACATGATAGAAGCAAATGAGTGTAGTAAGTTTATAGTTCTGCCTGATGTTAGAACAGAAAGCTGCCACTGCACAGCTTCATAGACATGAGAATCAGTGGTCTGCAGCTGTTTCTACATCAGCCATGTTCAGTTTGTTCTTGAGCTGCATGCATTCACTATTCACGTACTGTTTTTCTTTCCCCTATTTTCTTCTCAGTGGAAAAGAGCAATGGTAATGAGAATAATAGCAGCTAATACATTATCACAGTCACAGGATGGTGTGTTAATCATCAGTATTTTATTGTAAGCATTATAAACACTTGGACTTCCCATTGGCATTTACACAGAATGAGCCCTTGTAACTTTGTCTTCTGGCTTTGTAAAAATAAACTCTTTATATAGATTTACAACACTTTTTGAAGCTGTGGTTACAGGAACTGAACACTCAAGTTCCTTAGTGATGAAACATTTACTGTCAGTTTGCCGTTGTATGTGAGATCGATATCAACTGATTTGTTGTTATGACCTGTTACTCCTCATTTTTCTGGAAAAGAATATTTCCTTCTCGAGCGATCTTGTCTCCGTCGTTTACTTTCAGTTCCTCCAAGAATTCAACATAGCATAAATACATGACATTATAGTGCAAAGGGTGATACATTTTCCAGTCAGAACCACTTTTATTAGTAATGTTTAGTTAAAAAAAGACTCGACTAAAGAGGAAGTCATATCATAGAGAGCCTTTGCTGCTGTCTTTGCAGTTGCTGGACTCCCCCACTGATTTGTACAGCAGGCTAAAACCCAAGTGGAGCTCAGATGTAGTGAACGAGCACCACCACGATAAATGATTATGATGTTGTGCGATCCCTGCCAGTCAAACAAAGTAACCTACAGTTTTTGTTTTTTTTGGGTTTTTTTGTATTCTGCATATTTTCAGACTTCTCACCAAATTTAAGGAAATGAAAGTAACTTTCTTTAGCCACTGTTTTTTGTGTGCAAAATATATAGACGCATGCACTTCAGTGCAGTCAACTCATAGTATCTACTGTACTTGTCATTAGATAAACTACAGCTTAAAATACTTTAAAAAGGATTTCCTTGTGGTATTTTTCTCTTCCGTTAAACAGTTATTAGCATCCATATGTAGTTCTATCAATCCCTGCTAGTCTGTGAATGACAGAGATTTTGCTAGAGAAATGATCATCAGAGTGTGCTTTTGCTGTCTGGCACGAACATAATGAGAACTGTTACTTCCACACCAACATTTTGTAGTTAAACCTTTTGGTTTGTAGAAACTAGTTGAGGAAGTCAGAGAGTAACTCACAGCACAATACTATCACATCAAAGCTATGTATAATGTTGCGTTCCTGTGATATTTGAAACACGAAACAGTTATCTGTAATCTACACACATAAGCCACACTATTAGGTACACCTCGCTACGTATTATATAGTTGTGGCAAATTTGTCAGATGCACATCCAAGATGCAAATCTTCTGTTCCACAACATCCCAAAGGTGCACTGTTGGATTGAAATCTGATGACTGTGAAATACATTTGAATACAGTGAACTCACTGCCATATTCAAGCAGCCAGTCTGAGATGATTTGAAATGTGTCGTCCTGCTGGACGCAGCCATCAGTGGCTGGATGGACAATAGCAGGTTGGCTGTGAAGTTTAAACAATGCTCAGTTGGTACTAAGGCTCTAAATGTGTACCACCAACCTGAACCACTGGCCAGATTGGATCCATGCTTTCATGTTGGTGAAATTCTGACTCTACCATTTGAATGTCATGGCAGAAATTAAGACTCATCAGACTAGGTAACTTGTTTCCGATATTCATTCATGCAATTTCGATGAATTCGTATGAATCCTCAGTTTCCTTTTTTTAGCTGACCTGAGTGGCAACAGGCGTGGCCTTCTAGCCCATGTGCTTCAAGGCTTGCTGTTAATTTAAAGATCCTCTTCTGCTTAACTTGGTTTGTAAAGAGTTCTTATTTGAGTTACTGTTGCCCTTGCATCAGCTCAAAGCAGTCTGGCCCTGGCATCAAGAAGGCATTTTCTCCCAGAGGACTGCTGCTCACTGGAAACTTTCTCTTTAGGACCATTCACTATAAACTCTAGAGATAAACGTTTGTATGGGAAAGTCATAGTAGTTCATAGGTTTCTGAAATACTCAGACCAACCGGTCTGGGACCAGCTGCCATGCCAAATTCAAAGTCACTTAAATCACCTTTATCACTCAATCAGATGCTTCGTTTGAACTCCAGCTGGTCATCTGTTTCATGTCTACATGCGTTAATGCTTCGAGTTGCTGCCATGTGATTGGCTGATTAGATTTTTATGTTAATGGGCAGTTGAACACGTGTACCTAACAAACTGGCGAGTAAGTGTATCACAAAAACCGTGTAACTGAAGGAGGGAAAAAATGTCCCTAAAAAGGCAAAAAGCAATGGCAATCACTACATTGTGATGTCAGCAGCATACAGCATTTTTGTCACTATTTTTGTGATTCAGTTTTGTTTGCCGTCTGCCATTTTTTTACTGTCTCTACCATCCTGTGATGGAGTCATGAATAATATAGTCATCAGAAAAGCCTTTAATTGATAAACAAATTGTAAGAGGAAACACAAATGTACTGCAGTGCAAGCATCCTGTCTCATCCCTAATGGGACACTGGGATGCTTTAAGAATGCAGTCTGCTGCTTAAGAGGTCAAAACATAATTCAACATCAGCTTGTTTTCCCTGTTTTTCAAGAATGTCTGTGATCTGTATTCCAGGGTGCGGCATCCAGTGCAGATAGAGTAAAACAGAGGAAAGCAGAAGATGCCAGGACCACCTCCACCACCGCCACCTCCAGCAGCTCCCCCTCCTCCTACTTTTGCTCTTGTGAGTTTTTGTTTTCATTTATCTAAATCAAGCCAGATCTGTTGCTCTGTTCTACTGAGCTAGAGACATCTTGTGGCCATATAATGTCATAACAAATCTTTTTTTTTTTGTTATTTTTCATTCATAGTTTCATCTACATGGCCTGTCACTTTAAAGTTTAAGTAATTTAAGAAATGACAGTTTTCTCTTTCTTTCACTGACTGTTTATCCATCTCTCTATAAAATGCTATAAAGTAATGTAGTGTTGAAAAGCTTGCTCTAGAAATCTAAAAGCTTACAATTTACTAGGTACCCTGCCAAAAATGAAAGAAATGTCAACATTTTAATCACATCCTCAATGTAATAGATTGACCTTACCTCTTTGAGCATTTAATAGCAACAGCATCTTCACCGTTTCACACTGAAGAATATGTGTTGGAGCTTTTTTTTTATTATTTCAAAAGGAAAATGCTATTTAATTTCCAGAAATTAGTCTTTTATGACAGACGAAAAGACCACCCACTTTGAGGCATTTGACTGGTTGAAGGCATGGCAGATAGCAATCAGCAGTGATGCGACCAGCAGAAAAAGGGCAGTGTAATTTCTGCCAAGAATTTGAAGGGAAAAGAAAGCTTAAATATGTATTGAACACTGGGTAATAATGAACAGTATCATCCTTTGCTGAGTTGCGTTGTCCAGTAATATCTGAAAAAGAAATGCAGGCATGTTCAAAACAACAATGTTAATGTTAGATGTATTATAAATCTCTTAATCAAAAATATATTAAAATAACTTGTAACCTTGATTTTAACCACTAACATTTTGCTTTAATGTTAATTTAATGATATCTTTTTCCAATTAAGCATAACTAATTACAATTACATGTATTTCTCAATTTGCTAGTGGCTTCCCAAGGCTGACAGTGTTTGTGTGTCTTTTTCAGGCCAACACAGAAAAACCAAATCTAAGCCGTTCAGAGCAGCATGGAAGGAGTGCTCTTTTGTCTGATATTGGTAAAGGAGCCAGACTAAAGAAAACTGTTACAAATGACCGCAGTGCACCCGTATTTGACAGTAAGTCGATGTCATTTCAGTGACTATTTCAGTTATGATTGCAAAGGAGAAATAATGGGAGTTAGTCATATTAACTTAGTCACAAGTAATGAGGAAATAATATGATTCAGTAATGAATGTCCTCCACATGTCGCAAGAATGATTAACTCAATATTTGTTTGTTTTTTTCTATCAGAACCCAAAGGAGGAGGAGGAGGTGGGGGAGGAGGAGGAGGAGGCGGGGGAGGAGGAGGAGGAGGTGGTGGTGGGGCTCCTGCTGGCTTAGGAGGCCTGTTTGCGGGTGGGATGCCAAAACTGAGATCTGCAGCGAACAGAGACTCCAGTGGTAAAAAAAAAAAAAATGATACAAAACAATGACAAACAACAAAGAAAATTTTGTGCAATCTCGTAGTTTATTTTTCCGTTTTGTTCTCTGTCAGACTCGGGACCCAGCCGAGGACCCATTCTCCCACCTGGAGGCCGATCCGGTGGCCCAAGCCCTTTTGGTGGTGGTGGCCCAAGCCCTTTTGGTGGTGGTGGCCCAAGCCCTTTTGGTGGTGGTGGAAGCCCTAGCGGCGGACCACCTAGACTTCCAGGAACCCCTGCTGGTGGCCGTAGCAGTGCCCCTGATCTTCCCAAGGGCCGCCCAGGTTTTCCATCCAGGCAAGACTCTCCAGGAGGTGCTCCTCCTCCCGTACCCAACACACCTCGACCTGCTCAGTCCTTTCCATCTCGTGGGGGCCCACCTCCACCATCACTCCCCACAGGACCAAGGCCGGGCCATGGATCTCCATCTGGACCACCAAGCATTCCATCAGGGAGGCACGGCCCTCTTCCTCCGCCACCAGGAGGTTCCACACCAGGCCCTCGAACAAGCTTCTCCTCGCCTCCTCCACCTTCAAATAGCAGCAGACCTCCCTTACCACCTGCTCCAGGAGGGAGGCCCCCACTTCCTGATGATCGACCGCCACCACCACCTGCCCCTGGAGGACACCGGCCATCCATACCACGTGACATGCCACCTCCTCCTCCTTCAGTCAACTCCAAACCTTCTCCGTCTGTTGCTTCTTCCTCACCTTCGCGTCCCACACCCAGTGGGGGTGCACCTCCTCTTCCACCAGGACGTCCAGGGCCTCCTTCCTTACCTCCCACCCCAGGAGGAGGTGATGACCCCTCACCTCGTCTACCCCAAAGAAACAGCTCGCTCAACAGGTACTGACAAAGTTTTATCTGATATGCCACCTGAAATCTGTTAAATCTTAATGGATGACTGCAAGAAATAAGAAATGCAGCGGTGCATTTCTTATCAGACAATGTGAGCATACTTTGGTCGACATATCAGAGTTTGCATAGATTCAAATCTAATAGCTGTTCTATGATGCTGCAGTTCACACTTCATGCAAAGGAACCAGTAGCTTCCTTAAAAAGGCCACTCGCAGTTTGAAAACTTAAGTTGAATGTTGATAAAATCTTTTTTTTTTCTCGAATTTAATTTGGCTTTAAACTAAGAGGTTTCCTAGTCTAGTCACAGTCTAAAACATACATGCCACTAAGCACTTACTCTAGCTTTGGAAGGTTCCTGTTGCTACTGAGGTGGGAAACCTACTGTTAAATTAGGTGTTTACTTTGCTATTAAGCAGTAGGTAATCGTCCCAAACCACAAAATAAATGACAAACAGATAAAGCAAAATTAAGTACACAATAAAACAGCAAACTTGCAAATTGCAAGGACAAATAAAAATAAAGCTAAACTACCTGTCCACACCAAAAAACACAAAATAATGTGTGTATCTATAAAAAAGTTAAGTCTACCCCACCTCTCAGCTTTCAGGATGATCTGATATCGTCGTGTTGGTGTTGTTGCTGGAACAACATAGTAAATGTTGCTCCAGGATCAACATTGCAAGTGACCAATCACATTGTTGTGACGTTATTCTTTGGCGCGCCAAGCCATTCGTGCATTTATGAAATTCCAATGTTGCAAGGACAATATCAATTCTGCTTAGTGTTTATTAAAGGGTTAGGGTTAGGTAAAAGTATGATGTCACAACATTCTGATTGGTCACTTGCAATGTTGATCCTGGAACAACATTTACTATGTTGATCTGGGAACAACACCAACACGACAATATCAGATTGTGCCAGGTTTCATCTCTTAGCTAAACTCCACCTGGTGTCTGCTTACAACATTGGCTGATTTAACAGATGGCATTCAAACATTGCTAACTGTGGAGAACAGAAGTAGAGGTGCACACAGCAACATCCAAGTTTGTTTAACTAAAATGGCAAAAGTGACTGGGGTGCAGATCTGAAAGAAGAGCGATTAGTGATTGATGCTCTATGAAGTTAAATCTGTATGTCGTATTTCAGATATGCAGTTTAATCCTCAAGGTTTTAAAGTAGTGTGCACAATGATTTATATTTCCTAAGGGATGTGTGCTTAAAAAATAGGGATACTTTAAAAAGGATTAACATAGATTAATATTACATTTATCTTCGCCAGCCATAGTCCAGCACCACCACCTACCCGGTCAGGACCTCTCCCTCCTCCACCAAGTGAGAGACCACCAGCTCTTGGAAGGAACCAGTCATCAGTACGCTCGGGTAAAAAAGAGCTCACCTGTTAATTGAGCTATGAATTACTGCAGCATTCTAATTTTATATTAGACATATTTATGATATAGCATGCCCATTAACATCAAAAGTTACTGGATTTTATGCCACTTTGGATCATTTAACATCCTATTGTTTTTTTCTCCCGCTCCAAAGGCCCTCTACCTCCTCCACCTCCTGCAGGTCGACCTATGGGACGGCCAGGCCCAGAGCCCCCTCGTGGTGGACCCGGAGGCAGGCCTCCCCTTCCTCCTGACAGGCCGGGAACAGGAGGTGGGTTTCCTCCACCACCACCCATGGGGAATGGTCTCCAAAACCACAACCAAATACAAGGTGAGAAAAACCTTTAATATGTCATTAAGGTTTATTTGAGTAGTCTATAAAATAATTTTGCTACTTTATGGCAAGAAGATGCAAAAATAAAGAGGAAAATAGCACTGAAGTATGTCGAGTCTGTTTAAGGAACAACAATAAAATCCTAAAACCAGCACGTAAGCCCATGTGTACCAGTGGTTACTTTCCAAACAGAAGAGGCTAACTCTGACTTCTAAAGGACTTTTTCAGACGATAGTCTTCAGCACTGTTTTTAAGACGTAAAGTCTGTTATGTTCAGTATGGCAAAAGAACTCACTCACCTCCGCTGGAGTTAAATGGTAAATGGCCTGTATTTGTATAGCGCTTTTCTAGTCCCTAAGGACCCCAAAGCGCTTTACACAACCAGTCATCCACCCATTCACACACTGGTGATGGCAAGCTATATTGTAGCCACAGCCACCCTGGGGCGCACTGACAGAGGCGAGGCTGCCGGACACTGGCGCCACCGGGCCCTCTGACCACCACCAGTAGGCAACGGGTGAAGTGTCTTGCCCAAGGACACAACGACCGAGACTGTCCAAGCCGGGGCTCGAACCAGCAACCTTCCGATTACAAGGCGAACAGGGGAGTTGGCGAACTCCCAACTCCCCTGTTGTTTTTACTCCTTTAACCAAAGTAGTAAGATTGTAAAATGAGTTTACAGGGATCCATTTTTTAAAATTACATTTTTAGTCATGTTTCATCCAATTCTAAACAAATACAATATCCTTTATACATATACTGTCATAAAGCTAAGTCATTCTCCTGGAAAAATTAACACTGACACCTTCATTCTTTCCATTAATAGATGAGTGGGAGGGTCGGTTCAATTTTCACCCAGTGTCAGACCTTCCTCCACCTGAGCCCTATGTGCACTCCCAGAAGACCTACCCCAGTAAGCTTGGCAAAAATGAAAGCAAAGGTGAGTTCTGCGTGTTATCTACACTCAGCATCGTTAGATGATCTTCATGCAGTTTTCAGTTTGCTTAGTAACCTGTTAAAGACACTGACAGACCAGTGCATAACATTACATATTTTAACATTACTTTGGACATGAGCCACTTGATCCACAGTCCTTTACAGCACAAAAAACATCAGAAAAAAGGAAAGAATACAAAACAGGAAAATGTGATGCTGATTATAACATTACAAATTAACGATATATTATTGATTTAATATATTCAATGTGAGATTATAATCAAAGCAAAGTAGTTTATCAGCATTCCTTTATGGTTTGTAAATAACTTCTGATGAACTGACATCTGACATTGTAGCTCCTCATTTCAGCCCAGGCCACGTTCTGGTATCAGTCCTAATTGTGTTGTCTGTGGCCTATTACTACTAGCCTCAACATTAATTTATCTCTAATCGTCTGCACTACTTTTCCGACATTTGACAATAACTCCCATTTGACTCCCAACATCAAAGTTTGCTGTCCCTCCCAGTTCATTACTTTGCTTTTGTAATCTTCTTTTCAACAATCAATCAATGTCCCAACTGTAAAATGTCACAACATTCAGTTTAGTTCTGTTAAGTCTTTCTGGCTATAATCAGACTACCCTACAATCTTTAAGCATTTGTGCACCATCAAATTAAAAATATTGAACTCACTAAAGATTTTGACTGATATTTACATTATATTAGTCCAAACTTCCAAACAAGTGGGAAAACTGTTGATCTGGCTTGTCAGACACTGCCATCTGGTGGAGGAAAACATGCTCTGTTACTAAAGAAAGCACTAACTTTCTGTGTCTTTGATTCTTTGCAGGTTCTGGTAAAAAGGAAAGAGGAGCACCTCCTCTTCCTCCTATACCCAGGTGAAGATAAGATGGAAGCTATCGCAATACTTGGAACTACCCCCTTTGTCTACCTGCCCTATTTGTCTTTTTTGTTGCGCTCATTGTGCTTTGACCTGCAGCATGTAGTTCAAGTAAGAACTGCAACATGTAAGATGGACCTGAAATACAGTTGTCCAAAAAAAGGACAAACTCACAATGTGGAGTTTACATCATGTGCCTCTGTAACAGCAGAATGACACATTAAATGACCAAAGCATGTTTATATTTTGGTACACTTTGTCTAGGTTTACAACCATGCTGTTTTATTTGGGTGTCCTGAGTCACAGCTGCCTCATGAGCAACAGTGGTTTCATGACCCTTTATGCACATCGACTTTATTCCAATAACTTATTTAGTCTTTGCTTCCAATGTTTGGATTGCATAAACTGCTTGCTAGTTATTCCATTCTTATCGACCAACCAGTTACACTTTTGAAAAGGAATAGAAAAGCATACTTGACAAATGTGGCATGTAGCACATGTGACTTTCTGGGACTATTTATGGATTAAAACGGATTAGAAATCTTATGACTATATTTTAGTTCCAGGATTGTTGTGTAGTGCAAGGCTTCTTATGCAATCAGTCATCTTATACAAGTGTTGAAAAGCTGCAAGCTGTTATTTTATGAACCAGTGTTTCCCTAGTGCCTTTTCTATTCATGATTGTACTTAAGGTTACTTAAAGGAATTAGCTAGGGATGCCTTTTGTGCCTTATGATGCTTATGCCTCATCTATTTGTTAAGTTGGAACAACTCTGGTGATGTCAGTGTTGAAACAGAAGCATTGACTACCAGATCATTTAGAACAGAGGTTCTCAAAGTGGGGTTCAGGAACCTTAGGGAGTCCACAACTTAAAGGTCCACAAAATAATTTTCTTTAAAGAATGTGGTATGACTGAAAATTGCATACGTACATACAGGGACCATTTGCGCAACTACAAAAAGCATCATTCCCACATTATCAATAAAACAGTTAGAACATCAGTACTATATCAGCGTGTCATACTTACATAGACCTAGACATGGAACCAAAGTGTAAAAGGCCTTAACTTCCAGGCTCCACTGCAGAAAACTCATCAGGGGGAACATGAATGTCTAATTTGCCAAAACCACATGTGCCTTAACAATGTGCATCTGTGTGTTTCTGTTGGAGCCACTGAATGGTACGTTTTTTTTGTTTGTTTGTCTTTTACAGTTATGTGTGACATGAGCTTGCTTCTAATGTTTATGATTGAGGTGTTAAAATAAATTTTGTATGGGAATATGGCAACATAATTGAACTGATTTTTGTTTTGCATTTTTTTTTTTTTTTTTTTTTTTTTGTCAAAGCTTCCTTGACTTAATATGAAGGTCATGTGTTTGTATCAGTATGATTTCAACAACCAATATTGAATGATGGTATTATTTTAAGTTATGTTTAAGAACTGTGCAGTATTATGTGTTTGCTTCACAAAGCATTGCTTTAAAACTGTCCCGTATACATGATCCATCATGTAGGGATCATGTATACATGATGGATCGTACATATATAGTACATGTATGGATCGCGTATAATCCATATATATGATACATGTATGGATTTTGAAACCTACATGTCAAAAAGGAACTCTTAAAGACAATCATACACAAACTTATTTACTTTAAAACAATGCTTTATGTTCTTTGCTTGGGGGTGAAAATGGAGCGCTTTTAGTCTGTTATGCATTGTAAGTAATTTGATATGACTGTACAATGATCATGTGATAAAATGGGAACGATGCATTTTAGTGGCAGGATCCAGATGAAGTGACTTTTCTTTTGTATTGCCAAATAAAAATATGCATCTTTTACATATCTGTGCAATAAAATCAGCAAATACATTCTTCTGAGTGAGATCAAAGAAGGCATTGTCTGTTTTATTGTTGTTTTGTTTTGTTTGTGTCTTCTGTAACATAATTAGGCAGAATTATAGTATGTGCAACTTTCATTACCCAGCAGTATGACTGATTATTATTTCACATTGTGTTACTGCAAGTGCAGGCTTGATCTCAATCTTTTCTTGAGCTGCAGAACTTGGGAGTCGTCTCAGACATTTTGCTCCTTTGGCATAATATATCCCTGCTTGATGTGGTGTATCACTCAAATCACAATGTAATGTTAAGAAACCCACCCTGCTGAATTAGAGTTTAAAAAGCCCACATTACAAAACTATAATATAAGAACTGTTTTGCAAGTATAAGATCATCATTTTTTTTTCTTTCAGTTTTCAAATTTCATTATGTAATCATTTTTAGTTAGATGAAATTATGTCAGTAAACTGTGAATGCCCTTTAACATGACTGTCACTTCCCTTAGTGATATTGAATCCACACCCCTGATGTAAACTGGATGGATTTTCATCTCCCCATCGTCTTCCCCTTATTTTTACCCCTCCTTCCTCTGAACTGATTTATGGTTTCCCATCATTTCAGTTACATACAGTCTTCTTCACGTTACTTTAATAAGTATATCACTTCTGTGACTACATACCAGTTCAAGTCTTATTGATGGACTTGAAATCCAACAGTTTTCCTTGCGCAGGCTCAGTCATACCTCCTCACATTTGCTCAGTGTCATCAAGTGAAGGATTTATTCAGTAATTGCTTAAACCGTAAAGGTATGTTTATAAAATCATCACCTCTGGAACAATCATTATTTGAGGCACTATTTCTTTTTTTCCACAGAAAACGTGCAACAAACATTTATAGCTGATAAACGACAAAAATACCTGCAATTTTTGCACACTTTCCCTAAATTCAATAAATCCAGCGCACATCACGCTGCGACACGCCAAACTTTTTTGAAAACCCAATCACAGTTGTGTGCCAACATACCTCGGCTCTCATTGGCTGAATCATCTGTCAGTCATTTTTCAGGGCGTTGCCACATCTCAGCAGCTGTCAGATTGTATCCAAATGACAATAACACGGAATTGCACAGCGAGCTTTTCTGCACAACGATGTTCGTCTAAAATAGAGAGGTAGGAGGTGTCGCTGTGAAACAAAGTATTTTAAACAGCACACTCAGTCAGATGTAAAGTTACCGCGCCCTCGTATTCGTTTTTAGCATTTAATTATGCTAGCGCTAACCTGCGGTAGGCAGTAGAAACGGTGCTTGTTTGGAAAATAGCATATTTTGTATCAGCGTTGGTAGACTTTAAGTATTTCCGGATATTGCATTTAAAAAAAGGCACCGTGCTAACATCGCTTATAGTGACGCGGATGCGTAAATAGAGATGCTGGTAACCCTGAGACTCAACCAGTCGCTAACCTTTCATTTACATATTTGTCTAAAGCCCTTTTTAAATTCTATAGACGTGACGTTGCAATTTGCTCTTAGTCTTAGTTTACCCGCTGTTATATTTCTATGTTGCCTGTTTTTGAATCGCTCCAACGTCTGATAGTTTCCTCTCGGCGTCCTCCCTCAGTGTGCTGATATTCCTCACCTGACCTCTCTGATCACCCTGTCCCACATCACAATGGAGACAACCAACAGCTATGTGCTAATCCATGGGAAGAACATCTCCCATAGCACTCTGACAGGGCCTGCTGCAGGACCTCACATGTCCATAGACAAGCTCTTCCCAGCTCTCCTGGAGTGCTTTGGCATCATACTGTGTGGCTATATAGCAGGCAGGTAGGTGATTGAGAATTAGACCATGTTTTTGCCCAGTTTTCCAAAATATTGGCTGGGAAATGTAGTAAGTGCCTAGTGTAAATGTGTATTTATCCCCCACCCAGGGGTGACATCATCACAGAGAGCCAGGCTAAAGGTTTGGGGAACTTCGTATCCAAGTTTGCTCTTCCAGCGCTGCTTTTTAAAAACATGGTGCTGTTGGACTTCAGAAATGTCATATGGGCATTTCTGTGGAGTGTCTTGGTTGCTAAGGTTTGTGTCTAACCACTTGTAAGTTTGCATTATGCTGAAGATTTATAGAAAACAAAAACCTGATCATCACACTTCTGTCCTGTGTAGGTGACAGTCTTTGTGCTGGTATGTGTGCTGACACTGATGGTGGCCAGTCCAGACAACAGATACAGCAAGGCTGGTCTGTATGCCATCTTTGCTACTCAGAGTAATGACTTCGCCCTTGGATATCCTATAGGTAAGTGCAACAAAACATTACTGTTTGCTCTTCATTCAGGGTTAGCAGTGGAGAAAGTCCTCTCATGTCAGGTAATAACACAGAGTATAAACAGGTTCGATATGAGCTACAAAGTGCTATCAAGGCTGCCAAGGAAGCATATTCCCAATAACTTAAGTGCTGCTGCTGAGATATGTGGCAGGGAATCAAAGTTTTAACTACCCATAAACAACGGAATACACACTGGTCAGGGATCCAGGACAACACCCTACTGGAAAACCATAATGACCTTTCAACGTTGATATCAAACTTCAGGTAGCACACATATAGGGTCTCAGGGCATCTCCATCCTAGACTTCCTTGCTCACAGATCACCGTTGGTGACGGTACAAAACAGCTCTGCCAAGCTTTCAGTCAACACAGGAGCCTCCCAAGGATGCCACTTCAGCACCTATGATTGTAAACCTTTGACTGTGCCTCTACTCAGAATAACAAGATCACCATAAAGTATGTAGATATGGTTATGGCACAGCCATCCTCAGCTGCATTATAGAAGAGGAGTCATGGTACAGGGGACTGGCAAACGATATAACTTGCTATAGACAGGAGAATAATTCCTCTTCTTAACATACGTAAAGCCAAAAAGCTGTCAAAATGGATCTTGATCTTTAAGAAGATAATTTTGTGAGAAAGACTGATAAATCCACCAGCAGCTGTACTGCTTTGTGCCAATGGCAATAAAGTCTATCTTAATCTTATCTAATTAAGACATAGAGAGTGTGTATATATTTCATTGCCTCTCTGTCTTCACTTTTCTAGTTGATGCTTTATATCGAAGTACATATCCAGAATACCTCCAGTACATATACCTGGTTGCTCCTGTATCCCTCATGCTCCTCAATCCCATCGGCTTTGCTCTTTGTGAGGTGCAGAGGTGGAGACAGGCCAGCCATCCACAGCACAGTAGTCTTGGCATCCTGGGAGTTGTTGTCTTACAGGTACTAAGCATGCAGGTGTTTTGACAAGTGCATTAATACACCTGTATATCCTAAGGTTTACTTTATTTGCAAACTTTAAGGACCCAATTTGTACATTTGTAGCTGTTTCCCACTTTGACCTTTTGCACCAATTTTAGGTCTTCGAGTTTTAATTTTTATTATTTTTTTCACTCTAGGTGTTGAAGAACCCAATAGTGTTCATGGTGATAGTGGGAATCATCTCTCACTTTGCGCTGGGCCAGCAGATCCCTGCTGTGTTGTCAGAGTTTATAGATGGTCTCGCAAACTCTTTTGGAGGGGCAGCGTTGTTTTACCTTGGCCTCACTATGGTGAGTTGCACTCTTGTGTTTGTCTATCTTTTTTTCTTCTCCTAAGGATAACCTGTTTTACTTACCATGAAGGATATCATCAGCTGCCGTCTTATTTGGCAGGTTGGTCAGCTTAGAAAATTAACCAGAGACACTGGAGTTGCCTTGATATTGCTCATCACAGCCAAACTGTAAGTGACACCTGAATGGAATAGTGTGAGCGTAATTGGTTTAAGGTGGCCTGAGCTAGTGGGTTTTTGTATTTGACCATATTTTGCATGGTACATATTTTTCTGTTAGTTGCCATTATTTTGTATATAATATGTAATGCAAGATACACTCTGTCTTCAAAAATACAGAAATACATCTTTCTAAAATGGCAACAAGCCTTTAAGCTTCACCAAGAACTCTTAAAGAAAATGAACAAAATATGAAGTACAGAAGTGTTTTTAATAGTCAGTTTGGTTTTTGGTAGATTACACAGCTCCATGAGTATATTTTTGTCTGTCTCTCTCAATATCATCCTTTCAGCTTGATAATGCCGCTGGTCTGTAAAGACATGGTGGATATTCTGGACACTGGAGTGAACAGCACGAGTGCCAATCACACAAGTTTGTCCAACTTTGCTTTCTTATATGGAGTTTTCCCAACAGCCCCCAGTGTGGCCATCTATGCTGGACACTATAACATGGAGTTAGAAGTGGTATGTTCTCTTAATGTAACAATCATACTTTAAAAAGCTGTATGAAAGGAATATTACTTTTTGTTGTTGTTGTTGTTGAAACACAAAGAGAAGAGGACTCCCTTGTGACTAAAATGTTCCATCTTTCATGCTACTGGTAATGATGGCATGGAAACCCACATGGTCGACACTTAGCCGGGTATTTTAAACTTGGTTTTTACATTCTCTCACCCCCAAATCCTGTTTGTTTGGGTTTTTTTAGGTAACGTCAGGGATGGTAATCAGTACATTCTTGTCGGCACCAATCATGTATGTGTCCGCCTGGCTATTAACAATCCCTTTAATGGACCCAACCCCCTTGGTTACAGAGCTTGAAAATGTAAGCTTCAACATCAGCATTGTCAGCCTTATAGCTCTGGTAAGTGCCTTTGAATTCACCCCAGTGCTCTGGTTGGATCAGTGGGACAGGGAAGAATTTTAAAATGATAAAGAAGCACAGAAATGCTTTAACAACACCTAGAGCTTAAGCACAGGAAGTTGTGGATGATAGCTGGTGTCATGATTGATTTTCCAAATATAGACATATCAAATGATCGAGTATGATTATCTTCATTCAGGTGTGGACCATAGCGGTGATGCTGCTCAGCAGGAAATTTAACAAACTCCCTCACCTATTTGCGCTAAATCTATTCCTGGCCCAGGTCAGTCTTATTTCGAAAACATTTTTTAAAATGAGATTTCAGTGTTTAATTCAATTGATTCATTCATGAAATGTTAATTGAGAACCTTGTATAGGTACATGTTGTACCTTAAACTCTGTACTTTTCTCTATAGTTCCTAGTGTGTGTCAGTATGATCCTGTGGAATTTCTTGGTGAAACAAGAGGACAACCTGCTCGGCAAAATTCTCACCTTCACTTTGCTCTATGGGTCTCTTTACAGTACATACATTTGGACAGGTAAGTGAATACCTGTAAGTGGTTACACCTGTTTTATGAATGAAATACCCCAAAAGTCAAATGATTTGTGTTTAGCTGGTAGATGTTGGTGATTGTATTTGAATGTTTTGTTCTCTTTTTCAGGTTTAATCCCTCTCTGTCTGGCTCTGACTAACAGAGATGATCTGCTGAGACTCCGACCAGGAGTCTTCATGATTTTGGGTTGGGGGTAGGCCACCACAGAGAAATGAATAAGGATATTTTAATTGACAATAGAATAAGAGAATGAAACATTTTAAAACTTTTAATGATTGAAATGTGACTTTTCTTTTTCTTTGTGGAGACAAGAAAAGAAGATCATATCAGAGAATATGATCTAAAGTCTAAGTAATAACAAAATTATTCAACCTTTCTCCACGCACAGGGTTCCTTTCCTAATGGTTGGTGGTCTTCTCATATCAGGAGAGAGGACTGATACGATAGACTCTGCCTTCTTCTATGGCAGAGCCCAGGTTGGAACAATACCTGCTGTAACTCTACATTACACTTTCTAAAGAGTCGTTCTGAACTCTTTGTTTATTTTTGTCCAGTCTTTTTCCTTTTTTTTTCAGCTCAATACTTTTTATTTTAAGTTCAGGTTTAATGCTGTATGTGGAGAAAACGCACTGAAATTCTTTTACCAAATTAAAGTAATATTTATAAAAAGCACACTTCAGGAATTCTAGAACAAGGTTTGTTTGGGAAGTTTAATTCATAATCTCATCAATTCTCCTCCAGATAATCAGCACTGCAGTAATTCTTGCGGTCAGCCTGGTTCTCGGTGCAATATCTTTGATGGGTCTCAGCCAGGGAGACTGGGAGCAGAGCGGCTACCAAGCCCTGAGCAGAGCTACTGTAACGGGTATCAATGATGAGGTGAGGGTCCCTGGTGGCCTGGAGGATTCACACCAACAGCAAGAGCAGACACAGATGTCAAATTCACCTGCCTGTGGTATCAACTCGGGTAACTCCATTCTTTCACTTTGTCTTTAGTTTATTCTAACTTAAACATAATCTGAGTCTGAATCTCTGTTATCTGTTGTCATTGAGTCTGTAACCAGATGATGTGCAGTAAATATGTTCATTCATTCTGTTCTGTTGCTGTGCAGACCTCCACGGTTTCTCTCCTCTCCAGCCTATACCTGATATGATAGCCAGTACACAGAGGGACCACACGAACAGCACAGGTAATAAACATACATTTCACCTCACCATTCACCGTTCAGAGTAAATTGTGACGTTTCATTAGTTTTATTATGAATTCTGTTATTTTAATTCTAACAATAAGTAAATGACACAAATTTAAATGTTTGTCTTCTGTGGTTGATTATTATGCATTTTTATAACTAAACCAAGTGTATAGCCAACAGTAGTCTGTATAATCCAATAAAGATGGTTTACAACCATAAAATTGGCTTTGTCATCTTTACTTGGAATTCTCTTCCTCTCTAGGCCACATTGGGGCACTGTGTGATGGGCATCAGCAAAGTACTTCCTCCTCTGAGCAGCCGCTGAATCTTCCACCACCCGGGCTTCAAACCACAGACGATAAACAGACTGTGAGACATGTTCTGCTCTGTCTGCTGCTCATTGTCAGCCTGCTAGCAGTAAGGATGAAACACTCTTTATGTTTATGTGTGAGAAAATGTGTGAATGGACTGATGCTGTTGTCATCCACATTTAAATCACCATTTATATGGACATTACAAGTGTATGAAAATTGCCTTCAAACAGTGTTATCAGTTAGATGAATGAGACCTTTAAATATAATAAATCCTTTGTAGTGTTGTCTTTATCTACTTATCTATCTTGTTTATGATATAAACATCTGGATTAATATAAAAGCTGTTAATAATTAGTAACCTTATGCTACGTTGGATTACCTGTTTGTAAAAATGGAAAGTTGTAATGCATGCCATAACAATGTCCTGGTGCCTGATTGGTGAATGTTTCTGCCTAAATGAAGAACCTGTCCAGCTGTCTGTGGTGGTTGTTCAACAAAGATCCAGGAAGGCTCTACCTTGAACTACAGTTCTTCTGTGCTGTGGCTAACTATGGACAGGTATCTCATACATCAGCTTATTGTATATATGAAGTGTTGCGAGTAAAAAAAATACTATGTTCAGTTGTATCTACTACATTTTGTTTTCTTTTTTCCCCCAGGGCTTTTTGTCCTTTGGGATTTTTGGTCTGGACAGACACCTAATCATCTTGCCTTTTAAGAAGAGGTGATCTGAGACTTCATTGTGGTTTCTAAATTAATTTGTGATCAAATAAATAAAACAATACTAGAACAAGTTTTTTTTTTTTGTCTGCATTTTCTTTAGATTGCTTAGCCTGTGGCAGGGCAGGGACATTGATGATTTGAGTCCCTCGGGTGTACCAGAGGAGGTCAGGCTCACCTGTACTCAGTTTGTCCGCTACCACAAAGACCAGTGTGTACAAGACATAGTACACACACGCAGGTATGAGTACTTGTTTACATGTATTTGTGTGGGGTTTTCTTTAAGGACATTTGTGTGTGTTACATAGTACAGTTTGTGTATATGATTTGTTTTTAAATCACCCCTCACATCATCTGCTTATAGAATTTATTCCCTCTAAGCAAAATATTTTTGAAGTAAACACGGAAAAAAAATTATTAGAGATCTCCGTTTTTGAGTTTGAATTCTCTCTCTCTCTTTTTTTAAATTGTTTTCTTGTTCAATTCTGAGCATGTCCAAATAATTCTGATTTTCCAGTTTGTCTCTGAATCCTCTTTGCATGTTGCATCAGTTTCTGGGTTTCCCTCTACATAAGAATGTTATTTTTCTTAAAATCAAGTCTAACCATTTTAATTTTATACTCTGCCGTGCCTGTTTTAAAATACTGAAGATCAAATTTAGACACCCTACTACAAAACTAAAACTTTTTTTTTTACAAGTCCTGGGTGCTATCGTTCTAACACAAAATAATTTATATTATCTCTATACCTTCTCTATGCCTTATAATCCTTCCTTTGCTTTCTCTTTTATTCCTTTCATGTACCCTTCCTTTCTTTTGCCTGCCCATTCCCTCTTCTTTTCTTCACCATCACCATCATCATCATAGTGGCTCAGGGGAGAGTGTGAACACTTCGACAGGTGAATCCTTCCTCTGATACTAACAGGTTTGGAGGAGGACTGGAGGATGAAAATGAAGTTCTGAGACATTCCTCAGCCCATGAACCCCTTTACCTAAACACAAATTCTAGTGATCAGGGTCAACTAAACGATCACTCACAGATTCTTAACCGAAACCACAATCCAGATAAATCCAGCAGCCAGTGTTTGCTTCCGAGTCAACCCCACCTAGAGCCCGAGAATGAATTGCAAGCGCATATTTCCAACCCTGATGCACCAGGAACCTCCCTTGACCACGAACCCACCAATTCTCAGCATGGTAATGCTTCAAGCCCTCCCCAGTTTCATCAGTATCCCCAGTCCCATCTTGAAAATGTGTTCCGAGGCAGTGACTTAGTAGATTGGCTGGTGGAACGAGGCCTCAGCGCTGGACGAGCCGAGGCACAGCTGTATGGTGCCCGTCTTCAGCAGGGAGGAGTGTTGACAGGTCAGCACAGCTTCAAGGATGAACCCAACTTTCTTTATCACTTCACGCAGCCAAGACGGGAGGAAGAGTAGGAGGGAACAAGATGATGAAAGTGATGAACAAAGCTTTCGGCATACCAAGCGACGGCCACCATAGCCGAGTGCCAAAGCAGAAGTGCCTTATGGTGCAGCTTCTTCAAAGGCCACTTAAGGTTGAATCTGGATCATATGAGACACTCATTTGCCCACCAGAATTGGGTTATTTGTCCTTGTATATTCAGGGTGGTTCCCAGTTGAATATCAACTTATTAGCTAATCGGGAGAGAGGTTGCACTTGCAGTTGCTTTAGAACAGGGGTGGGGAACTCCAGACCTCAAGGGCCGGTGTCCTGCAGGTTTCAGATGTGTCCTTGATCCAACACAGCTGACTCAAATGGCTAAATTACCTCCTCAACATGTCTTGAAGTTCTCCAGAGGCCTGGTAAGGAACTAATAATTTGATTCAGGTATGTTGACCCAGGGTGAGATCTAAAAGCTGCAGGACATCGTCCCCTGAGGTCTGGATTCCCCACCCCTGTATTAGAAGGAACTTAAACAAGGAAATTGATGGTTGGGGTTAAAAAGTTAAAAAGGCGAAACGATCACTTCCGACTGTCACTTGACTCCTTTTGGTTGTGGAAAGAGCCCTTTGGAATTTTATTATGGCTATTATATTCTTCCATTTTATTTTCATCGATTATTTTGCTCTCAGTTTTCTCACTGGGATCACTCTGAGATGTAAACAGTATAGAATCAGTCCCAATTGTAGCAGGTAAAGTTTTATTTCCTTGATTGCTTTCTGGATATATTTTTCAAAGAAATTAACTTAAATGACCATGCTTAAATAAATAATATTTAAGATAAGCATGCACGTGGTGAGAAGACCAGAAAAGCCGTCAGTAAACTACTCAGTGACAGCCTGTGACATTTCTGTCAAAGAACAATGTCATATTTTCTTTCAGGGGATATTAAAGCGTCCAGAATCTGCCTGTTAGTTCAGTTATCATTTTGCACGCTGTGTCTTTTTTAAAAGCTCCAGTCTATGCTGACTACTTGCATGACTCAGCAGTATGGACTTCTCCTCAGCAATGAGCTGTTTGCACTAACTGAATAAATACATTCTTCACTTTTTTTTTTTTTAAAATTATGCAACTCACTGGATAGCTGTCTCTTGGTGATGCTGCAGAGGAAGCTTGTTTTCTTTGCAACTGTAATTGTGTTGCTGCTGTTTAGTTTTAAATATTTGTTCAGGACTGATTTTGAATTCACTCATCCATGGTGGAGCACCACCTCATACGGGCTTAATTTGAGAATTCAGCCAAAATTCCTGTCATGTTCTTTGCCTTTGAGCCCAACCTACACAACAGAAGACAAAAGCACGTACAGTAGTTATTGGAATGACAAATCTGTCCATTTGAATGAAAGATGGGTAAAGCCAGAGGGCTCACGTTGTCACAGATACAGTCCTGTTTTTGTTTCAAATGGCTTATCTTTCTTTACAAACCACTGCTAAACTGTTTACATCTGTAAGGAAGTTCCACTACTCTGTCCATTTAAAAAAACAAACAAACAAAAAAATCCTGTTCAAAATGTGTCGAGTCTACGGTAGCAAAGTCTGCGGTCACTGTAGACTGTTACGTCTTTTCATTGGCCCGGAGTCTACTGTGAACGTAGACACTCTACACTCTGGCCCAATAGGAGCGCTGAATCCCACTGTAGACTAGCCAACATCTAATGTATTACCCCCATTTCTAGTCTTTTCAGTGGCGACACTAGAAATTTGTGTTATAAATCCAGATGCCCCTGCATGTCGTCAGCAGGCCGGGTGATGTGAGCACAAGAAAACGATTAGAATAAAATGTGATGAAGTTTGTTTAGATGGTAAATGGCCTGTATTTATATAGCGCTTTACTAGTCCCTAAGGACCCCAAAGCGCTTTACATATCCAGTCATCCACCCATTCACACACACATTCACACACTGGTGAATTGATGACAGGGTCCAGCTGTAAATCAGAGGAATAAGAAAGGATTTGTGAATGTGTGTGCGTGTTTTAGGCTGGTTTAGCTATAAGCCTGAGTGTGTGTGTAATTTGTAACTGTAATGTAACAGTGGGGGTCTGCCTGTCATAAAAGGAAATAGGAAGCCACAGTTGGGAGATGCTAGGAATGTATGGAACAGAAACAGGAAAGAGAGAAGAAGTTTGTTACCCTTTTCCCCGAGGTGCAGAGAGGGTACGGCATACCTCCACACATCCTGTTTTATAGGGGCCTGAGCATTTGTGTCACACACACACACATCAGCTATGTGTATCCATATATGGTAAATTAGGAAATTTGTATTGGATGCTGTAAATGACCATTAGGGGTGCGGCTACCAAGTATAAATGTAAGGATCTGCATGACTGCAGAATGAAAAACAGAAATGTCCTTCATTGCATATTTTTGACCAATCAGAAGTCGGTGATTGGTCAAAAGTCTAGAGTGAAAGAAGGGGACTTCTGAAATCGGAGTAATAACACGTACGAGGGGAGCGATAACAAGATTCTCCAGATCGTTTACTCTTGCTGTCCTGTGAACAGCATCGGCGTGGTGTTAATTGTTTGCCGTTTCGTGATCGTCTCATGCATGAGAATATCACCAGGTAAACTAGCGACATTTTTAAACATTTTGTTGTTTAACAGCAACAAGACTGACGGAGTGTGTTTAAGGAAACCTCAAAAATGTCACAAATGTAATATTTGGTGTTTATTTGCTGGTCTGTCGGTAGCGTCTACCACACATCTTTTCAACCAACGCCAGTTGATCTGGAACACCGGCTGTTTCGCTGTCCCACTGCGTGTCCACCATAGACTCTGGCCAATAAAAAGATATAACCGTCTACGGTCACCATCGGCGTAACTTTGTGCTGAACATTGAGGGGGGGGACTGATTATTATTACTTTTTAAGTGGGCAGAGTTACAAAACTGTGTGGTTGTACTTTCGTAAATGCCTGTTACGTTGTTGCTGTTTTACACTATTGCTACTATGAAGTTTACAGTGTGTTGGCAAGTTATAGAAGGTGGATGGAAATATATGCATGTTTAAAAAAAATGTCAGGGACACAGATCATGTTAATGTCAAACTAATGTTTGCTGTGATTTTTTTTTTTTTGTTGACCTACTAATGTATTTGGTCCCCATGCATGTATTTCCATCTTTTGATCCTCTGCCAACAAACACCATACTGGTTCATGCAATCAACATCAGGTCCTTGTGTTTATGATGTTTGATAAAAATGTGATTCACCTCTTTTTAAAGAGTGCCTGCCTCAGTTAACATGAAGGTGTGTGTGTGTGTCTTTGTGTTTGCATGAACAAAAATGTCTGAGTGTGTATGCGCGTGTTGCAAAGCACTGAGATAAAGTAAGACATTTTAATGTCGGTCAGCAGGTTCAGTGTAACAGTGGATGTTTTTAGTGCGTTGCTTTAAGTTAGTCGGGGTCAGTGACTGTAACAGAAGACATAAATAAAAAATGTTTGCATCTAAATTCGTTTTTACTTCATCACTAAACTCGATTATTGATTCTAATTGGAAATTCACAAGTAAAACAAAGTAAAAAACATTTTAGATTTTTATTACATTACATACAACCATAGAATATAAAATGATGGATAACTCCACCATGATGTCCCATTTTGAAGCGTGTAGATGAGCCTGTAATTTCATCACTAGGCCACTTCCCATAGGCTCCCACAGTACTGAAAATCTTTTTTGCCCCATGATGGGCATTAAATAGAAGGTTTAAGTCAAAAACATTGGCTTCACTTTTCAGATTTGTAAGCTAAATCCATCATTTCTGCTGTCTATGGCTAAAACATGATGGAGGGGGGAAGAAAAGATTTTTGATCAAACAAGAGGAAAATAAAAATCCTCTTCCACCCACACAAAAAGCCCTTTAAAAATAAAGGCAGCATACTTAGCAACTCCCCAGCCCCCCCATAAATGTGTAATTTCACGCTGCTGATAAAAAAACAAACAAACTTGAATTTATTTATTTATATCATGTAGCTTTGACAAAATTACAGATAAAAATAAGTTAGGCACTTTGGGTGTTTTTCACATTCACAAATCAGGGAAAGCAGGAAAGGTTCACACACTGGGAGGCTACATTATAAAATGTGATACTCTAAATCCTAAACTGTAGTATATTGTTGAATATCAAAAAACAGTACATATACATATACTCAAACAATTATCCTGAAATGAGGTTGATCATGAAATGCCTCTAAAATACACACCAGACAATTCAGATTTCTGTAAGTAAGGTTTGTCATTTTCTCAGTTAAGGTTATTTGTTGCCCCTCTGTTGCACCTAACATTTGTTTTTGTGTGTTTTCTTTCATGATATAAATAAAAAGCTAGATTTTAAGACTCCTTTCTAAAGACTTTCTTCTCTCAAACATTGACTTAATAAATAAAGAACAATTCCAGTCAAATGTAAAGTGCAACACCACACGTGTTAATAGGAGCACATTATACGATTTTCTCATGTCTGTAGTTTAAATATTTAAAAATGACACAATAAAAGGCTGGAAAGCTGATTTTAACTCTTCACTGAATGAATTGAGTGATTTAAGTGTTTTTCTACAAGTGATTATAATGTCTCTCTTAAAAAACAACAACAAAAAAACAAGCTAGTTCAATACTGTAAATGAGTCCAGAAAAGCTCCACATTTCTGCAACATTTAGAGCATGTTGCTCTAAATTATCTTTGTTGAAACCACCATGAAACCTCACACCTCTCATGTCAGTGAAAAACAGCTTCATTAAGACACATGTGTAAATGCTTCAGGAAATACAGGTACAAAACAGTTTAAAGTCCAAATATACTTTCTCCATGAAGCTTCGTTAACAGCAATTACTACTAAATTAGTTACTAAATAAACATATGTAAGAGAAATGTTAGTCTAGCTGCTCTCTTCTTTATGAATAAAATAAAGATCATTGTTAAACTAATATCTGTAAAGAGATCCAGTCCAGTGTCCATGTAATATGTTAAAGTTATTAGAAAAATAGTTACGTAGGACTTTCAGTCTAAATCTACCTTACATATTTTGTGTGTATTTTCCACCATGACAGATCCAGATCAGAGAGACAAACCCTGAATAGCAGCCAATGGAAACTTAGGGAAAAAATGTAAAAAAAAAAAAAAAAAAGTCATTTTAAGGCACTAAATTTGATTATATTTTTGAAAGAACACCAAAATGTTGTATATCAGACACCCTTCAGTTTGCCCAGAAGTGAAACTCACAGTATGACAAACATACTCATAATCATCATAAAAGCCATATCCATAAGAACTACTGAGACTGCACGGTCCGTTTCAATTATGTTTTGTTTGTTTTAGGATTTAGATTGGGATCTGTAGATGGGGAAGTTCAAAAAGTTTCTCAGGGTCATTACGCAGGGTTAAAGAAAATGACATGAAACAAGGCACTGTTGAAAAAATAAAAACCTGCAACTATTTTTAAGGTAAAATATTTTGTAAATAGATTGTTTTACCTTCTCACATGCTCTAATGTGCAGCTTTTCTTCATAATATCTGATTAATAATCTGAACATTTCTAGATTTTGGACTGCTTAGCCTTATAAAAATGCCAGTCCTGTCCTGTTTAATTAAGACAATAGGTGCAGATCATTACAGCGTATGTATTTAAACAATACGTTTATTGTTTTAGGGCATTTAATTGCCTCTGTATTGCTGTAACAAAGGAGCCCAAGACATTTCCAGCCCCATCTCAGAAAACTTACCCCAAACCTTTAGGGAACCTTCAGTATTAAAACTCGGTGTAACATGATCAGAAGCCAAGTTCAGAACAGATCGTACTGTAGGTATGATAACTCTCTGGCGTGACCTTACAGAAATCTGGAGTCACCAAAAGGTCACATGCCAACCAGCGGTCAGTTTTTCCTCACCTCACTTCTTCTCACATTAAGTTACATTTAGGTCTTCTTTTACCTCACACTCCGTCATCGCCTCTTCCGTTCCTGCTTGATATCAGTCTCACTGATTCCGTTGCTATCCATGCCATCCACTGTGAGGCGACCTTTGCTGTAGTGTTTAATCAGTGCTCCGGGTAAGAGGGCCACGAGGGCAATGGCGAGGAGCTGAGCCAGCGTCCCCCAGGAGAATATGTCATCCAGTGAGGAGATCTCTGAGAGGATGGCTCCGGTGCGAACACATATGAAGTTGTAGGGGATCAAACCTGAAAGCGAGACAGTGGTGGCTGACTGATCAGTACTTGTTTTGTAGGTTTTTTAGTCTGCATGTTTCATGTTTGAAATTATGGTCTCACCTATGAACACGGAGAAAAAGAAAATATGCATAGGGATGTTGAGAACAGGACAGGTGATGTTAAGGAACCAGTTAGGAGTCATAGGGAAGAAACGAAGGAAAAGGAGGAAAAAGAACAAACTGCTGCGGTTTTCCTCCACCTGACGGAGGGAGGAGAATGGGTGAGGAGAGAAGAAGATAAAAGGAAATGTGAGAAAATTAAAACCTAGACAGCAAATGATAAAAAAGAC